CTAGTGAGGATTAAGTGGTGTATAGATAATGGATATTTTGTAGACGTTAACTGTGAGAGGCTAAGAGCGTCACATCTACAGACACATAGCTTCTCTGCTACAGCTGCTGAGTGACTCCGTATTTATGGTTTTTCACAGACAAGATGTTTTTTTTTCTCTGTAGTGAAAAAGATCTTGTTACTGTAATAAAGATCCGTCCACTCCTGCTATTACTCACTTCTATAAGAATTCATTTCACGCTCTGCAGACCTCAGCTGCTGACCTTTTAAGTTTCAAACCAACAAATGTAACCTTTAAGGTGGCGTTGGTTTAGGTGGTTTGCGTTCATTGAACATTTTTATCATCTTGCATTTCCCCAGCTCGAAGGGCCGCCTCATTAACACCCTTCCTGCTGTTAGGTAGACTGGTGTGGCAGATGCTGTCCTGCTCATAACGGCTAGCTGTGAGCTCCTAATAAGAACATTGTGATCATTTTTGGGCAGCCCCTGGATATGATAATACAACAGTTCTTCATCACTTGCGTGTGTGAAGGTGCGATCTGATTCGTAGTCTAAAATACAGTAGTGCGTGGGATGTAGAAAATTACTTGCAAATGAAATCGAGTCCCCACCGTTTGTGCCCAGTTGCAGTTTACTGTGCGCTGTGTGTTTCAGAGGATGTGCTGGTTGAGGAAAAACAAAGCAGCTCTGTGTCTCTGTCCAGCCTGATGACCCCATCCTCTGTCGCTGGTATGTCCTTGAGCATGGAGATGCCCCGGAAGCGCAAGGGCAGCATCGACAACCAGTAAGTGTGAGAGGGATGGCTTTAATGTGGCTTAAGGTGGATCTAAATTTAGTGACTGACATTGATTGTTGTATTGATGGTTGTTTTTCTTCACAGGGATTCAAAGTCTGTTTCAATCCTTGACGCAGATATGGACGATGACCAAAACGGGTACTGTGTTCTTGTTAAAGGATGATCCTTCTGTATTGATCATTTTGGACAAAAGAGAGCTCAGTGGCACAGAGAAATCAGCTAAATCAGGCTAAATCAGACAATATTGCTTTGTTGGATAGATTTAGTTTTTATGAGCCACAGTTAGCCTTCAAGTGTGCGCCTGTTTTGTGCTATTTATGTGTTGTTAAGCCGTAATAAACCATTTCACGTGTGTGTTTTACTTCTCTGCAGGTCAGATGGAGATGACCAGCATGTCAAAATTAAATGCTTCAGGTAAATGATATGTAGCTGTACTAAATTTAATTTAGAAATTAATTCAATCTTAACATGTCCGTTCTGTAATTAACATCTTTTCTCAGATGTTCTGTAAAGTCAAAGCAGAGAACTCTCTGAATCTTTGGTGTTATTTCCTAATTCTTACCTCTGCAGGGAACCACATAGCCAAATCGAGAAGAGGAGACGGGACAAAATGAACAATCTCATTGACAAGCTGTCAGCCATGATCCCGACCTGTAACCCCATGTCTCGCAAGCTGGATAAACTCACTGTGCTCAGAATGGCCGTGCAGCACCTCAAATCCCTCAAAGGTATGATATCAAGCAGCGACCCACAGATGTATTCAGTTATCTAAAGGATGATCCCGGTTTTTACAACTTAGCCGTCATATTTTTGTTGCTTTGACCGTCACTTTTATTGGCTATGATAAACAGTGCAGGCGGATTGTTGTCCTGTTTATGTCGTACAATCTGCAAGCAAACCCTTTTTCCCCCCCTTTTTTTTTTTTTTTTTTAATAACCTGACTGAACATGTCTCTTACCTCATCTGACTTGTTCTATTTTGAGATTTTCCTGGAGCTCGGCAGTCAGCTTAGTGAGTAATATGCTATTACCAGTAGTGATGATTATACCTCTAAAAATTAAGATCCAGTTTTGGATAAACACAAGTCATTCTTTAGAGCCTTGTAGTCTGACGTTAGACTGGTTGTGGAACATTGTTGATTAAATGTTGAGGATCAGACAGAGTAAACAGAGTCTATCTTTCTGTATTGTGCTTTATATGATGATATATTATTCCCATTTTTCTTATTTCACTATTTATTCATCTCTCTATTTCTTCATGGTGTGTTCGTTTTCTGTTTGTGAAGCACTTTGTAGACTTGATTTTGAAAAACGAAATACAAATTTATTACCAGATTGCTGTTGTTCTATTTTCAGGTTCGGGAAGCTCCTTCTCTGAAGCCAACTACAAACCATCGTTTCTTCCTGACGAGGAGCTCAAACACCTCGTCCTCAAGGTAAACATATGGTCGACAAAGTCAACAGTCAGCCATCTGCTGAATGAGCCCGTCTTTTCTTTTAAAAGCCTCGACACACGCTATCTGATACAGAGAAAATTATTTTGGATGTTCAGAAATATCATTACCAATATTTGTGTTTTTCTACTGTTGGCATTGTATTTTGAAAATGCATACTTAGAACAATACATTCTATACAAGCAAAATAAATAAATACTGAATGGCCTCGTACTGTTGTGTTGAGCGTTTGTATTGATCTCCTCCATGTTTCTTTGTTGTGCAGGCTGCAGATGGTTTCCTGTTTGTCGTGGGCTGCGATCGTGGAAAAATAGTTTTCGTCTCAGAGTCCGTCACGAAGATATTAAATTATAGTCGGGTAACACTTTTAGATTTAAATTTGCTAGTGTTTCTGCCGTGTCTTTGTTCATGTGAAAACCCCCGACTCACCAGATGGGTTGTGTTGGGTGGTGATAGATCAGAAGCCTCATGTTGTGTGGCATTGTTGTATACTGCACTAATAGTAAACTGATGATTCTGTTGCATTGTACCAGCAAAACAGTACATCCATGCACCTTTGTTAATTCATGTCAAAATAAATATCATAGTGTGTTTATATGCTACACAAGGTGCACTTGAAATCCTGTTAGAGTGTTAATGTTTTTCCAAAACTGCTGAATTTCAGTTTAAATATTTGCTGGAAAGACATCCATCGTAGACTCGTAACTGCTTTAATGATGATAATGAGCAGGTTGATGTAAACACTGTGTACAGACGTGTCTCTGATCCACACAGTGTCTGGTTTGCTCTGGGGGCAACAGTCCAGTCAGTTTCAATGTTGAATATGTTGTAAGCATAAATCGCTTGAGCTGCAGAATGGTTTTGACGTTTCTTTTTAATCACCATCGGAGTCTTGTTCAGGTCATTTGTTTGTTTTCCTCCAGGCGGAGCTGATAGGACAGAGCCTGTTTGATTACATACATCCTAAGGACATGGGAAAAGTGAAGGAGCAGCTGTCGGCTTCTGAATTATACCCGCGCGAACGGCTAATAGATGCTAAAAGTAAAGCAATTATTTTTGTCTCTGCTTGCCTGTCAGTTTGTGTTGGTGTTTGAGAATGCATTTAACGTTTTCCTGTCTTCAGCTGGTCTGCAGGTCCAGGCCGACCTTCCAGTCGGCGCATCGCGGTTGTGTCCGGGTGCACGCCGCTCTTTTTTCTGCCGTATGAAGTACAACAAAATTTCTGTCAAAGTGGAAGAGAAGGAATCCCAGGGAAACACCTCGAAAAAGAAAGGTAGGGACATTACAAAGCAGACTTTTGCACATTCTGGTTTGAATTTGTTTGGTTTTCCCAAGATGTTTTGATGTAAAGGAGGAAATGTATTTGTGTTTTATGTTTGTGTCATTTTGTGCATGTCCTTTGTATTTGCTTGTAGAGTCGCAGAAGTACTGCACAGTCCACTGTACAGGCTACATGCGCAGCTGGCCTACGAGTCAGATGGGAGCAGATGGGGAGGGGGAAGGAGACAAGCAGGACAGCTCCCACTTCAGCTGCCTGGTGGCAATGGGACGCGTCCACTCCCACTCGTCTCCCCAGGTTAATGGAGAGGTCCGAGTGAAACCCACGGAGTTCGTCACACGCTATGCCATGGATGGCAAGTTCACCTTTGTTGATCAAAGGTAGAATTGAATTCCAAGGAGGGGGTGTTGAAGGGTTCATGTTTCTTGTCATTGGACGTTGGGCAGTTTATTGTGGTGATTCTGTTTAGAGAATCGATGTGGGTTTATCTTCCTCAAGAAGCAAATAAAATCGGTTGCAGGAAGGGAGATGCAGAAACTTAGCTGATCACTTTCTGATGATATTGAAATCAATACAAAAAACACTGACTTTTTCTTGCCACATGCATTGTACTAACTACGATTTTACCAAGTGTTCAGCTTATTTTAACATTTCTGAGGGATTTTTAAAAGTCTAAAATCAAATAATCTGCATTTTAGGCCCTAAATGATCTTAAATACCATTTTGGTAGGTCTTTATAATTGATTCTGAAATTCACATACGTTTATAAAATTGCATTAATTTCAGTCCCAGTTTAAAAAGTCTTGACACTGTGACAAAGCTAGAAAACAAATCCAACATGGAACCAATACTAATGCAAACTACTAGAACCCAGTCAGAATTGATCAGAGCACATCCGGCTGGTTTGCCCTGATGTGGCGAGTGGGGTGTTTATGTTAATGCTACTTTAAGCTAACGTGAGTAAGGGCGAGGTCAGCCGCATCTGGCTAGAGGAAGGCATGGGAAGTCAGAAAAACACAAAGCGGCCATCAATAATGAACTCAGAATGCCTGCCATCACCCAGTATTGTTCTGCATTCACATCAGGAGCATCACTAGAGTCCAGCTCTAACACAACCTGCTCTGCACTAACAGCGTTAACACACACTTTATACAAATTGGCCCTTTAGAATTGAAGGCTGCTGAATAGTACAGTAAACAATGAGGCTGATTTTTGTACTTTTTTGCCAGCACAGATGTGAAATATGTCTTAAAATTCATTCATATTGGTCTTAAATGTCTTAAATTTAACTTGTAGTTACCTGCAGAAATCAGCAGTAGTGGTTATTTATAGCCAGCCTGTATCTCTTTCCACATACTAGAAGTCTGGTAGGTAGACACACAGAGTGACGTAGTCCTTCAGTTTATTGAGATGTCGCAGTAAAAAAATGGAGGAAACATTTTTTCTATGTCATGCTTTTATTTTAAATATCACAGTGGATGTAATTTGCATTTTGGACACAACAAATATAAACCAAAATCACACTAGTATTGAATTATCTCTATAATATGTTCATTTTCTTCAACAGAGCAACAACTATTCTGGGCTACCTTCCCCAAGAACTGCTTGGGACATCATGCTATGAATACTTCCATCAAGATGACTTACCGCATTTAGCTGACAGACATCGAAAAGGTAATTTACATTTTTTCAGTCGCCACATGTCACTTGTATTTTTTAAATTGTGAGGATGGATGAAAAGCTGTTTTTTCATTGTCTACCAAGATGATACGTACATGTTTTAATTATGCAGGCCAGTTATAGTGCTGAAGCTCAGATACTTCACATTATCAAAAGCTGTGCTTCTAAATATGTTTGTTCAAGTAGGTCACGACGCTGCAAAATCTTTATATCGGTCACGCTCGTCTCTCAGCGCTCTCTAAGGGTTTTATTTACCAGTGTTTTCTCTAACTCGTCCTCTCACTGTTTTTCCCTCCACAGTGCTCCGGAGTAAAGAGAAAATAGAGACAAACTGCTACAAGTTCAAAACAAAATACGGCTCGTTTGTCACTTTGCAAAGTCAGTGGTTTAGTTTTGTAAATCCCTGGACCAAAGAAGTAGAGTACATAGTGTCAACAAACACCGTCATATCGTGAGTACATGCTTCAATCCCTTTTGTTTATCACCTTAAATATCTGTATAGATTTGTGTTAATCAGAACTCTGTCTGTCTTCTCATCCCATAACAAGACATGATCACAGTCGAACAGGTCGGTCCGGGAATAAGTCTGAACAGTCGAGCAACGCCAAGGCTTCTGAAGGTCAGCTGGAATGAAAAAGTCCATAAAGATGCTATAATCATTAATATCTGTGATGTGTGATATTAACCTGTTTTCTTCTGTTTTACTTAAAGATTGCAAGAAGTCTCTTCCAATTATACCTGGCATCTCCACCACCCCTGGAGCTATGATATATGCTGGAAGCATAGGGACCCAGATTGCCAATGAGCTGCTGGATTTTAACAGGTGTGGCCAAAAAAAAAAAAAACGGAGATAAACACAATGTTTTTCCTTTTTACCAACATAAATGCAGCTGTGTTTTTATAAACTACATTTTCTCCTTGTCAGTTGTTATCGTAGTTGTTCTAAGTTGATCTCTGTGGGTTTTCTTTAGAATGAACTCGTCACCCTCCAGTGGGAACGTCAGCCCCTTCAGTCTGCCACAGGACAAGTCTCCACACACTCACAATCCAATCAGCAACAATGTGAGTCTTTCTGCATGTCCCAGTCTGTTTCCCATCCGCATTAAAAGTCTCAGACTCTCCGTGTCCAGTAGTTAAACATTCACAAAGTGTATTTTTTGCAGTGATAGTCCCTACATGAAGCTCATCACACTTTTTACATTGTAGTAGTTGAATTGATACCAAATAATCAGATTCTCTAACAGTCAGTTACCTCAATAAGAAGTGGATTTATCTGTAAAATAGATTTTTTTTAATAGCATGTCACAATGTTTATATTTCTTAATGTATAGGGGGAAAAAAACATTTAAAAAAATGCAGATGATATTTCTAAAAGGCAGCAACAAAAACCTCCACCTGTGTGCATTTATCCTGCAGTCAGTTCTAACTACCTTGTACCATCTTGGGTAGTAGTTAGACACAAACCATCATCCATCCTTCTTCATACAGGAGATGTTTGCAACTATAGCACTATGTTTGCTGCATCTTTTAACATCCCTGGATTTATTTAATGTTTTTTAAAGGTTTGAGGTCCTTAATGTCACAGCTGTGTGTTTGTTGGAGAATTCATTTTTTAAGGTTTAAAGCATCATATTAAAATCAGATTCTTTTGATGATTGGTTAACTCCTGCCATGCTGTTGTAAAGCCTATAATGTGCACCTCTTTTGGTCTCTAGGTGCCAAATGGAGAAACATCTGACATGGAGATTCCAGGGAAGTCCAGCTCGGAGGATGAACCCCAAGGGGCTGCGTTCTCAGGAGGAGAGTCGCTCATGGGTACGCTCTCTGATCCTGTTAATAAGCCCACTCATAAACTTATTTACATTCTAGATTTTATTTGTCCCCTGTTGTATCAACTTTAATGTGTTTTCCTTTCTCTGTCACTCAGGGGAAAACTCCCAGCTGGATTTGGACAGCGTGGTGGGGCCAGGCCTTAGTAGTCTTAGCAATGATGAAGCAGCCATGGCAGTGATCATGAGCCTCCTGGAGACCGACACAAACTTGGGGGAGGCTGTGGACTTTGAAGAGATGCACTGGTCCTTATAGAATCTGCATTACAGCGTGACAAGCAATACGCTGAGAAACTCTTGGACCGTCATTTTGATGATGGCAAGAACTGCTCGATGTTTTCTCCAAGACGCAGCATTCTGTTTGTTTTTTAAAAAAAAAAAAGAAGTTAATTTATTAGTTACCCTTTTCCACATAAGCTGTGTAGTGTTTGGGTGGCTGCTCTCACAGGAGCAGGACTGACAACAATAAGGCACACCTGATTTCCTTCTTCAGAAAGAGGATGTGCCTTTAAAGCCTTACAGCAGTCTGCCTGCCCTGAAACACTGTTCCTCACTGCTTTCCTCAAATCTACTGTCAGCCTCACACACTTCAAGGACTCACGAACACAAAACGACAGTGATACGATTTACATAACGATGGCTCGGGAACAAAGGCTGGGAGTGGTGATGCAAAAAAAGTTGCACTGAATTGATTTCGTGTTTTTTAAAAGGTTGTAATTTCACCAGGTACTGTATGTGTAATTATAATGGGAGGAAGACCCCTAGACAACCTGGCCCGTCTCTGAAACCCCTCAGGATCCAAACCGTAGGTATCCGGTGTACCGCGGCAGACCACACTTCCATAACCTCTACTCTCTTTGAGCATCGCCTAAAGATGTGGCGCTCAGAGATTTGCTCTTAACCTGTCAGTATCTGAACATTCTCCACGGAAACACTCTAGTAACCTCTTCTCTTGTACACTGACTTAAACATACTGTATATGTGTGGAGTTGGTATTACTGCGAACACCATGTCTTCAGGCCATATGTGTCTTAAAGGGATAGTTTGCATAGGAAACCCTGGATTTAGTTTGTTCTAAGTTCAAATATTTCAAATTTTTTGGCTGAAAATATCCATCTTCATAAATTGCTGGAGAGCTGCCAGTGTTGGCGGCCGACCGTTCACTTACTCCTATGACTTATGAGCACTATAGTCCAACTTCATGCAGGGCAACATAGCACTTTAGAGGTGCTGGAATGGAGGATTTTCACATCTGTGACGTTTTATCAGTACATGGTTGACGCTGATCTGAGTCTGATGGTAGAAGCGATAACTCAGGGAGTTATCCATTTTAAGGTTTTACATACTTCCCTGCATACTGTACATTGGTATGTGGCGTAATGAGTCTGTACTTGTTCACTTGTGCATTTGTGTTCTTTCTTACTGTCAGCTTTATTGTCGTGCAGGTAAGCCATAGCTTTAGCTTTCTTCATGTATTGTTATGCACTGACAGTCTCTCAGAAGACATGTTCATGTTTTATGTGCTCGTCGGAGCGCAGCATCGTCATGCATACATTTATTAAGGGATTGTGCTATGCAGAAGTATCATTCCATAAATTCTAAACTTAAAGGTATATTCCTTTATTTTCTTTCAGTGTGATAGTAACGTGCATGACTCCTACAGATATAAGAACCTTCGCTGACTTGTGATATTAACATTTGGTGAGAACTTGAATTAGTCACTGAGCAGTATGGATTTACCTCATCTAGAGTTTTGTCTTGCCCATGCTTGCTATTGCACATTTTAGCTTTTACTTAGGAAAAAGAAAAAAGAAAGAAGAAGAACCATTAATAGCCATTATGTGATCCACTGCTAAGAGTCGTGTGGGTTCATTTTTTATTATGAATTACCAAAGTATATCAAAGTATTCTCATACAGTGAAATTTAAAAAAACAAGTCTAAGGCAGTTTAGCCCTGATAATATAGAAATCCTATTTTTACTCATAGGCTCAGTTTAAGAAAGTCATTGTATTGGCTGTTTTATAAGACGTATGCACTTTGGTATACTTTCCCTGTTTCAAGTTATTGAAGAAAAAAAGATGAAACATTTACAAAATCTATTAGCTATAAATGATTTAAGAAAATTAGATGATAAACTACTGAAACCCAAGCAAAATTATCGTTCTGGCACATGGCATGGTTTTGAGCTCATTTGATATCCTGGTGACTGTTGTGTTTGTTACATTTCCCAGTTTCATTTATGTGCTGTACACTGACTCTCATAGGGAATGCAATGAAAGGCAAAATCTGTACGTTAACTAATACTATTTCCTTTTCTTTCCTTTTTTTTTTTTTATAAGACAAGAACATAAAGTTCTTGTCAGAGCGGCTGTGTATCTGTATCTTATCCTGAGTGATTACTGTCTAAACCACTCTCACCTGAACATTACGTGAAGCGGTGTAGTTCTAATGCCATGACATTGTTCACGTTGGTATCTTGGGCCACGATTTCTAGTCATTTGTTTTTTTGAGGACTGTTAAGGATTTTTTTCAATAAGAACTCTTGCTTCAAGAACAGAAAAGGTTGTTGTGAATTACGAAGAATACTGTCTTTTCTCTGTAATGCTTGAATTATGAGGAGCCAGTTGACGGAGCAGCTGAACTCATAAGGAACCTTCCTGCCTGTGTCCGATGTGCCTTTGGACATTCCTGCTCGGACACACAATGAACCTGTGTTGCTTTCGGAGAGCGCCTCTCCCACGTGGCACCTCTGCAGACTGAAAGGAGGGCTAAAATCTGTAATTGGATTAACTTGACGCAACATGACATACTGTGCACATCATGAATGAAGTGGATGCTTGTTCAGAGATGAAACAGGAGCTGTATATTTTTGGCTTCAGTACTCACTACCTAACCAAACAAGCAGAACTATGGAGTAGTGCCATAGACACAGGCTGGTCCTTCAAAAGGCAAAAAGTCAGTTTTGTATTGTTTTTTTTGTTCCCGTTCTTGGTCAATCATTGTACTGTTGTGGCTTGTTTTTTCCCCAGAAAGCTAAAATATTGCTCTCACATCAGCTTGTTTGATGGCGACCGAGCGATAAACCTTTTTAAGAGGTCATGTATTTTGCTTCTGTCTCCATTTGAAATAAAAAGAAGTAGTTTTTGTAAGATAGGGAACATTATGTTTTGATTTCATGCCCTTATGTATAGTTGCATGTTGCTTTGGTTTCATTTGTTAGTATTTAAAATCCGTTTCATTATTAAACACGGGAAGTTGAGACTGGTGTTTGTGCACACACCAGTACAGCCAGCAGCCACTGCACCAGACGAAGGACCTCGACTTTGGGGATTAGAGTTCTCGAGGAAAGTGTTTGGACCTTTTTTTTTTTTTTCTTTTTTTTTTTAAGTTTTCCACATTTTGTTATGTTTTTAACTCATCTTAGGATAGAGTCAATTATCCTTTTTTTCTCTCATCAATCCCCAAACAATGCTCCACAATGACAAAGCAAAAACAGGTTTTGGAGTGTTTTGTTAATTTATTAAAAATAAAAGACTTAAACATCCCAATTACAGAAGTATTCAGACCCTTTGTTGTGACACTTGCAGTAGAGCTCTGGTGCGTTCTACTGGTGGTCCTTGAGATGCCTGTCCAACTTTGTACAAGGAATTAATTCAAAAGAAAAAACAAATGCACCAATCTATCTATAGATGCTGATGGTGTCAAAAAAAATGTGCTTAAACCCTTGAGAGAGCATTATGTTAAGGCACAGTTAAAGGGAGCAACACAAGACATTTTCTGCTGCATTGAAGGTTCCCAGGAGCACATTTGCCTTCATCGTTCTCCAATGGAAAAAAAATTGGAACCCTCAGCAGGCTTCCCCAGATCTGTCCCCCAACAAAGCAAACCAAAAACCCAAAGATCACTGTGAAAGACATCCACAGTCCCTTTGTGATGCAGGACGACAGAAAGATAACGAATGATGCAGCACTCAACCAATCAGACCCCATAAAGTGTCCAACGTGACAGAAGCCATTCCCTACTAAAACACACATGACAACCTGTTAGGATTTTACCAAAAGCTGCCTGACGGAGTGCCGGAGCAGGAGAAGCAGAATCCTCTGGTCTGATTGAACAAGCATCAGCACATCATACCATCCCTGGAACCAGCACGGCGGTGGCAGCATCATGGTGTGAGGATAAATTTCCATGACAAGAACTGGCAGGCGCTGCAAGGTGGCTCGGTGTTTAGCATCGTTGCCTCGTAGCTCGAAGGTCGCTGGTTCACATCCCGGTGAGGAGGGCACCCGGGAACTTTCTATGTGGAGTCTCCATATTCTCCCCGTGCAGCGTGGGTTCTCTCCGGGTTCTCCGGCTTCCTCCCACACACTCCAAAAACATGTTGAGATTAATTGGTGATTCTAAATTGTCCGTAGGTGTGAATGTGAGTGTGCTTGGTTGTCTGTGTCTAAGTGTAGCCCTGTGATAGACTGGTGACCTGTCCAGGTGTCCCCTGCCTTCACCCTGAATCAGCTGGGATAGACTCCAGCCCCCCGTGACCCTAGTGAGGATTAAGCGGTGTATAGATAATAGATGGATGGATATATGATAGAGAAATATAGAGCCATCTTGAGTTCAAACCTTTTCAGTGCTCAGGTTTACATTACAACAAGATAACAATTCAAAGCACAACATGGGAGTGGCTTTGAGAGTCCTGTAGTGGCCCAGCTAGAATCAAAACCAGACCTGAATCAAAACCAGCAGACCAGGAGAGACCTGAAAATGGCTGTGCATTGGAAGAAACCTCCAAGAGAGACATAGCAGGTTTGAGGGATTCTTCCCATGAAGACTTGAGGCTGTCATTGCTGCCGAACGGTGCTTTAACCAAGTACTGACTGAAACGTCTACATACTTACTGGATGTAAGATGAATATTTTAGTCTTCTGTTTTCCATAAGCGCTGTACACTGGGCAGGTGGGAGCTCTTTACAGCCTCTATTATACCAATTTCTGCCACTTTACCAGTTCATACCAGTTTGACTTGTGGGGTCCAGAGTCTGTGTTTGTCTATTGCATCATTACTGCTACTATCAACAAGTCTGAGCTGTTTTCTTAGGTTGTGATTCTGTTCATAAAAAAATATTTACTAAGCACCTGTCAGGAGCTTTGGGAATGTTCTCAAAGATCTATATTTGAGTCAGACAGAAATATAGTAAAACAAAACAAACAGCAACTTGAAATTAAAAGTGTTTCATTAAGCTTTTGCCTCCTTCCAGGCTGCTCTGTTGTGGCTCTTGGTGAGACTGAGAAGCAGCCTTAGTAGCCGTCTTTGTAATTACATTTACACCCGCATGCAGCCTTCCGTTTCGTTTCCCTCCCCCTTAGGAGATTGGCTCAAAGTAATTTGTCAAATGTGATAAGGCAGTGGTCGGCGCAATTAAGAAAGTGTGGCATTAGCTGGGATTTGTTGTGAGTCTATATAGTGAGCGGCGAGCGCAGAGCTGTTGCTCCTTCACACAATGGGCCAAGCTGCTACTCTGCCTTGCAGGAGAGGAGAGTCTTATGTTACAGAGCTGTACGAGTGGTTCAGGTAAGATTTTCATTTGGCTTTCAAATTTACACCGAAAAGCTTAATTAGGTAGCTCCTTGGTCTCTGTGTATTCAAGGATAACGAGTTTGTTAGTGAAATGAATGAAAGAGGAGAGGCAGTGTTTAAGAGTCCTGTGTGAAGTTCAACATGCAGAGCAGCTCAAAAAGCACTTTTTTTGGTGTTAAAACATCCAGGAAATACACTACTAGTGCAGTCTTTATATATATATATATATTTATATAGTAAGTGTCTCTCTGGTCCATTTATTTCCTTGGGTGAGCATTAGAATAAACTCCTGCCCCTACTTTATTTCCATGGCTACACATTGCTGATTAGCTCCACTCTGCCATGATGCAGCTAATTGGTTCAAAATCATTTAGCCTAATTGTCTTTCCTTCATGCTGCAGGGTTTAAGCAAGATTTCAAACACATGTAATCTCCACAGGTTGGGGATGGGTTGGCCTTAATTCTCTTAATTCTCAATTTGAAAGACGCATTCCCTCTTGCTGAACCCTCACCCGAACCGCCTCTACAAATGAAGCTGTCATTTCCTGTGTTCTTTGTGACAGAAAGTTTATCAATGAATGTCCAAGTGGGCTGATCACTCTTCATGAGTTTCAAAGGCATTTCTGTGACGGAACTGTGGGCAGTGAGTCAGCTGAGTATGCAGAGCAGATTTTCCGCACGTTGGACAACAATGGGGTAAGCTAAGAACTTTGAATGGGTTTACACAGTCATGAATGTGGAGGCAATACTTTATCTAACAATGCGTCATCAAGCTGTTAATCTGGAGCTTTTCTTTAGGATGGGGTGGTGGACTTCAGAGAATACGTCGTGGCCATCAGCATGCTCATTGAAGGCTCAGCCGTTGAGAAGCTGTGCTGGTCATTCAAGCTCTACGACAAAGACAGAGACGGAGCCATTACAAAGGGCGAGATGCTGGAAATCATGCAGGTGCCTGTGCACAAAGAAAAAAAAAAAATCCCAGAGGCTGCATATTTCAATCCAGCTCAACTGGTGTGTGTGTGTTTCCTTGTGTTGGCAGGCTGTTTCTAAGATGAGTGTAGCTGCTGCTTTAACCAAACCCAACCCACTCACAGCTGAAGAATGCACCAACAGGATATTTGTGAGATTAGATAAAGACAATAACGGTGAGGAAACGATTTTCCCTCTCTGCTTGCAATCACGGTGCAGTGTTGTTTCGACTTGGAACCCAAATGCATCAGTCAGGACACAACACTGAGGATGTGTTTTTCCTGTTAGTGAATTGATCTCATGTGGTTGAAGAATATGTTCTTGTGAAAGAAGGTAATTATACCAACCTGATAGCTGCAAATCATTTCTCGTAACACCTGCAACAACTCAAACAAGGATATAACAAATTGAAAATGTGAAAATAATGCTAAAGTTTAGGAGGTGTGGCAGGAGCTTCAGGGTGGTAGTTCGTTGTGTAGTTTATATTTGTACTGGTGATAGTTAACTCACATTGAAAACTATAGATCTCTTGCTAACTAATGCCAGCCCTTGGAGCCAAACATGGAGGGAACAGAATCAAATGATATTAATCGACTCTGTCCTCTGCTCTTTGTCTCTAATTACTGCCTGCCCTTGTTATGTCTGCAGCCATCATCACTCTGGAGGAGTTCATAGAGGGAGCGCTGGATGATGATTGGATCAGAGAGATGCTGGAATGTGACCCCAGCACGGTGAAGGTGGAGAGGCCCTTGAGGAGGGACAGCGCTTTGGGGACTGATGGTGAACCTGAAGTGGGGTAGTCCTGTACTCGCTGGGTGGGGAGGAATGAACCGTTGTTTCCTGATTTCTTCATGTTGTTTCATGAATTCTTTCTTTGCTGGATGACTTCATAGTTTTTTGATCATTTCGATTATCCTCTTAAAATAAATGAGATTTGACATGACCTACTTGTGTTGTATTATTAAATACACATTTGTGGCCAGATTAACTTTCCAGCTTTGCCGGTCTTCAGACATTTTTTTTTTCCAGTTGCTCTTTGTGGAGGTGTTGAGTTGCTTTACCTTGCTCTTTAAAATGCTCCAGAGGTGTTCTACTGGTTCAAGTCAGGAGACACACTTGTCCAGGTCATAGTTTTAACCTTTTTTTTTTTTTTTTTTTTTTTAAATCTAAACAACTTGTGTGATTTTGGCAGTGTACTTTGGATTGCTATCATACTGAAATACTTCTTTTATACCAAGATTCGGCAGACTGGGAGTTATCTTGCCAGTCAGTATCTTGATATATTCACAACCTGATAATGGAATACTGGGCATTAAACTGTACTATTACACACAGCAATAAAATCTTGCACATAAAATTAAAATATAACACAATATAATAAAAAATTGCACATTAAGTGTAAATGTTGCACCTGGATATTAAATATTCCATCCATCCATTATCTATACGCCGCTTAATCCTCACTAGGGTCGTGGGGGGCTGGAGTCTATCCCAGCTGACTCAGGGTGAAGGCAGGGGACACCTGGACAGGTCACCAGTCTATCACAGGGCCACACTTAGAGACAGACAACCAAGTACACTCACATTCACACCTACGGACAATTTAGAATCACCAGTTAACCTCAGCATGTTTTTGGACTGTGGGAGGAAGCTGGAGAACCTGGAGAGAACCCACGTTGCACGGGGAGAACATGCAAACTCCACACAGAAAGATCCTGGGTGTCCTCACCAAGATGCGAACCAGTGACCTTCTTGCTGCGAGGCAGCGATGCTAACCACCGAGCCACTTTGCAGCCCCAGAATTATATATTACACATGAAATGTTGCACATGAAATTGAAGTATTATACATTATAATTAAGTAATGCACATGAAATAGAACTGTTGCACCTGAGATTGAACTATTCCAATATTGTGGAACTGATATTGCACAAACATGGATATTCAGATTTAAGGGTTATTCGTGACTTTTACTCCTCAGCAGTTTTGCTACTATATTGTAATATAGTTTGTAATACATTGCAGTATTTTAGAATATTACTTTCTTTATTTGGACGGGACACTGCATATTAATGAACGTACAATCTCAATAGTTTACACAAGATTGCAGTAAATACACCGGATTTAGCACAATTAACCGATTTCCATCTGTTGTCCCACACATAAGAGAAAAACATGCAGGGATACAGACATATAAACAAATAAAACAAAAACAAAACAACAATAGTAAAACAAAGACAATGATGGTACATTAATTCAGACTGGGATAAACCTACCCTAATGTGCTGCTATATCAGTAAAGTGCTTTCTAGGCATAGTCTGTCACTAACGTGCCTGATTTCCTCAAGGTTTTTTCAGGATACCTGGTACTTCCTGCACCACTCACACTGCTAGACCACATGGTGTCGCCTGCGCGCTTGTTTAACTCCGACACACCAGACTTTTGAGGAATATGCTGCGTTCGGGTTACTACAAAAAAAAATCCGAAATGTTTCCAATAATATGGACATATAGGAAGATATAATATCACAACAGCTGTAACTGGAAGCGACTGTTGCTTATAGGTATTCCTGGTTACTTTAAATAAACTAATAAATGCAGCTGCGCCTCATCGCGCAGTGTTTGGGTCCTGTGAGTTGGTGACGTTAACAAGGAATTTCATAGGAAGCTCCCATTTCCCATTTTTGACGCGCTACCTTGAACGCGCCGGGACTCCCATTTTCTGAACGGTTCCTGCTCCCCGGGCCAATCCGGGCCGAGCCAGGCCGGAGCAGGGCGGGATTTTCCAGGCATGACGTCCCAAGTTTTCCAGCGGCCCTGTCACTTCGACATCATGGCGTAGCGATGTGGACGGTCGGGGGGTAGCAGCTACTGCTGGGAGAAGTTCACAAACCGAGTCCTGGGGAGTTTTGTAAATAACCAAAGCGGAGGGAACGAGCGAACGGAAATATTGGATTTCTTCGAAGTGGAGTTTCGGTAAGTGAGTCCGCTGAGATTTTTGTTGTTTAGTCTGTGATTTATTCTTTAAAACCTTTCTTTCTTTTTCTTTTCTTTTTTTACTCAAAGTTAGCAAACAAACTGCTGCTGTGTCTCGCGCAGATGGACGTGCACGTTTTCTCTCGGTACTATCGTTTAACGGTCGTTTTTAGCTTCTTTTTTTTTGCGATTTACTGTAAAAACAGCCAAATAAAACGACACCTGAGGCTTTTGAGGCACTTTTAAGAAGGATTGGTCTTTTCAGTTACCGGTCAGTTTGGTTAAATGTCACTTTTTTTTTTTTTTTGGACGGTTAGAAAAAGTTGATAGCAAGTGTTCGCGAGCGCTGAAATTGTAGCTGAACAAATGCTGTTATATGAAACAGATAAATGAACATATCAGCCTGGAAAAGTCAGTCTGACTTGAGTTTATGACTTGGCCACATCTTCAGACTTCACCAGACGCTGCGGTTAGTCTCTCTGTGCCTGAAGCTACCTCTTTTTTTGCATAAACTAAACCTCGTCTGGTTTGCTGTTGCCTTGTCGTGGTGCTGACTTTTGCTGTTTAGCTTCCACGATGTTCTCCAAAGTGACCCAGACTGTAAAGTTTACTACATGAAGTGGGGTTTTTCTGTCTTCTTGTTGTTGGTGTTTTATAGCTATGAAACCTGATCAGTTGTTGTATTACCCTCAAGTCGACCTCTAAAACTGTTTGGTCTCCCTTTTCTGCTGCTTTCCAAAACAACACAATGCCAGATGCTGCCATCAGTTCTCACCAGAGAGTTTGGTTTTGAACATTCCTCCCTCTGCACTGCATTACATTTAAGGGTGGCATTTATTGTAAATTCTTTTTTTAAATCACATAATTATTAACCCCAGTAAGGGAAACTCCCAGGGCACTCATTCAAGCTCCTTCACTGCAGCAAAAAAAATGCAAGGAATTTCTAAAGGAAGAAAGCTGAACATGTCTGCAAAACAGATTTTTCTGATTTAAGTGGTGCTGGATTAGTCTTGTACACAACCAGACAACTTTATGTAAACCTTCACCTGTAACATAACCAGCCCTCAGCACCACGTGTGCACGATTCAGTGTTGCATTTCATTGCATTTGCATCGATGTCCAAGACGAATAACTTCTCAGTCAAGTGGAGGTACACGTTGTGCAGCGGCGTGTAATATGAAAGGAATGTGCACTGCTGTCCAACATAAATGAAATTCTGCTACGATCTGGTGCATACATAGTGGCAGGAAAAATTCATGGGAGATTTTATCACATGAAAGCTCCGCATTTCAAAAACTAAATTTCCATCTTTTGTTCACTGTGTTTACATTGCATTGCTCATTGAACTGGTGCCTTTCAGTTTGTTTTTCTTTACTTTTATTTCCAGCTGCTCTATTTATAGAGAAAGGTCTCCCTCTTCTTTACACACATCTTGTTTTCATATAGGCCTTGTTGTATGGTGGTGTAAAATTAGTGATGATGTATTCTGCCCGCTCACTCAGGTTGGAAATAGCTGCAGGTTATTCCAGAGCAGCGTCCCGCAGACGGCCAGTCGTGTGTACACCCAGTGAATCACTGGACACGCAGCCTTCTTACCACACTGCTTCAATGTCATTCATCTGTAAACGTGGAGACATGACATCAGCGTAGGTCACAGCAGACAGTTTTGTCATAGTGTAACTACGTTTGTAACACAGTCGTGACTCGATAATCCAACACTAAATGTAAAACCTTCTTGTATGTTGGATAGCAAGGCTGTCGGATTGTCAAGACGGAGGTCGAGATACAAGGAGGGCTTGATGCTGGAAGGCTCATTTGTTGTTAATATTCATTGTTATACAATAACTAGTTGGGCTGCCCCGAATAGCCCTTTCTGGGCTCAATTAAAGATGAATATCCGAATATTCGGTGTGGTCGGGGCAACACTTCCACCCTGGGGAAGCGCTCCGACGGGGTGGAAGTGGCCGGAACGCACAGGCAGTATTTAGCTGCTGATGCCAGTTTAGGATAGCAGTCCCAGTTCTGTTTCCACCATCAGCGGTGGAGGAGTGGTTTTTACGGTCCACCATTACCATCCATGTTTACTTCCGTAAACAATGAGCACGCTCGCTGCGTGTGATGTCTTCGTGTCCTCGTCTGTGCATGCGGGACACTTTTGGGTCGTATGAAGTTCACACAGCAGATCACATACAAGTCGCATTTAATTGGAAATGTGAACGAACTCGGATTTCACAAAATATCCAAATCGAGCATTAAGTCCTGCAGTCTGAACATAGCCAATGTGTCGGATTGTTCAGTCAGATAATACGCCGTTAAGGCTATTTTTAATAGGTTCAGTTCGTTTTTCCTAAAAACACGTCGGATAGCAAGGTTTAGGATTGTTAAGGGTCAGATTATCGAGTCACGACTGTATCTTGTAAATGGTACATCACATATGGTTAGAGCTTAAATACACCTCATTGATAGAGAAGCAGTGACTGTAAAGCAGTTTAATACTAAACAAAGCATGTTGATTCCATATTTTGATGCCCTTAAGCCTTTCCTAAGGTTTTCAGTGTAAAATAGGCTGTTCCCTGTCTGAGATAAAACACAACGAGGTGTGCCAGACAGAGTTTAGGTTTTGTCATGGAAACACTGTGTGCAGGTGAAGAATGAGTCAATGAGGCCTGCATGAGTCAAAACATAGAAAGTGTCATTATGCGGAGAGGCTTGGTTGTACTCCGTCATGTCCGTGGAAATCTTCACAGATAAAAACACAACAAGTGAAGCAAGCTGCTGTGTGAGCTATGTTGGGTTCGTGCATTCCTTTGTCTCCTTGTCTTTTTACCACCATGGCAACTCATCTCAACCCAGGCTGTTAAGTCAGTTGCATTGCAGCTGTAAACTCTCACCCCTCAGAGACAAGTGACCCCGAGGCCTCTGTTTTGTTTTCTGTTTCCTGTGGGACTGAGGAATTACGAGATCTTCTGTATTTATACCAAGAATACTGGAGCAGAGTGTCCAGATAGGATGGGTTATGATGGCTCTCTTCGCCTAAAGGGTCCAGAGCTGAAGAAAAGCAATTATAGCGGTCCACTCTCCCCGTTGTATTCATTATTCTCTGCATGTCTCCATGAATTACATGGCTGTTTTCACCAAAGGGCATGACTGCTTTCTGAATGTGTTTTTTTTTTTTTCTTCTTCTTTTGCTTTAGTTTCGAGGCTCTGAACAGTATGTTTGGAGGCAGGTGTTGTTGTGAGGACCATGTGTACTGTAGCATTGCGATGCACTTTTTTTTCCTCTTTGTCCTCTCATGCCTCTCAGTCAAAACACCCTGCTACGATGAACAATAGCCCTCTCTGTGTGTCTTATGGTTGGTGTTAGTGGTGCTTATAGAAAGACAAGACAGTGAGACTTTGTTTTTCAGAGCGATGCATTCTTGTTGGGATTTTTGAGATGTCTCCTTTGATAGAAAACTTGCACAGATGGGGTATATACTTAACGGCAAATACAGACGTGTCCCTCCCTGATTCTCTTTTTAATCCGTCATAAAATAAAAGCACACTTAAGCTAAAATGATTAATCCAATCCATTGACCGAAAAATGAATCAGATTATCGTTCCAGCCATTTTCTAAGCAACAGTGTCGGTCGTTGTGCCAGCTGCTGCGATATGACGATTTGCTGCTGGTCTTTGTCATATATGATAGTTAACTGAATATTAAAGGTTAATTACATATATTATTATTATAGTAATCAAGAAAACAATTATTAGTTGTAGCCTTAAAAACATTCCCGTCCGAAGCCTTTGTTTTGTAAAGACGGCGTTGGCAAAGTCACCTTGTGCGCTTGCTAGACAATTCTCTTGTGTTTACAAACCACGGAGGCTTCCCAGGACTTGAGGACAGGGTGCACTTCTCTGTAATTAGGCATTCTTTGTGCTGGACTCCCTGTCCATCGTAGATCCGGGACAGAACCGTGGAAATGCTCAGACAGGGTCGTCTTACACTTGTTTAGCTGACACATGGACGGCAGGTTTCAAAGCAGCGTGTCTGGTCTTGGCCTGATGAGTTTGAAGTATGTTTGCTGAAAGCCATGTGTTAACCTTACCCACATTTGCCTTTCTACCGTGAAAGAAAACCTGACTCAGGTTTTTGAAGCCCTGCAGGCTTTCATTCCACTTTCAGTCATCACAATCCAAACTTTGTTAGCTGCTGGAGGATGTTGGATTTAAAGTATTTTGTTACTGGAGTGTAGTGAGTTGTTTTTTTTTCCTGCCCTCCTTGTCACTCTTTATTTATCTAAATGGTTATTTTTCTTTTGTGCTTCTTTTTAATGTCATGTCTGTGTCCCTCTTGCAAAAAAAAATCAGGACAAGCAGCTACTGTAGATTGCCTGAGAGGCGCATATTTACCCAAATGCAGAACTTTACTGCTGGAAACCACTCAGCAGTTTACTATGGAGCTGACTGATGGCATGCTGGTTCCTCTCATCTCCCGTCAGCCTGCTGTGTGTTGCGATGAATCGTATGTTTTAGTGCATGCTTATTTTACACATAATGGAAAATGTGACCACAGAAATGCTGAAATAACAGTGCTAGGTCTGTGGGTGGTTTCCATAAAGTTTGAAAATGGTGCTACGTCCCAGTGTCGGGCACTCCCAGGATTTGAGGCAGCTGATTAAAGGAAGAGGTGTGTGTGTGCGTGCTCGAGTGCAGATTAGTGCCTCTATATTCATGTTTAAGCGTGCATGAATATACAGCAGTGCCTTTTGATTAAACGCTCACAGATAAAGGTGCTGCTGTGTTGTTTGGGCAGATGTCCAGGACTGGGACACTAAAATGTATCTTCACTCTGCTCCAACAAAGTGTCCAGTGTCTGGTTGGCAGGACATTCAGTGTGCCAATATTTAAAGTAAATGGCCTGATTGATATTCTGAAATGCATTATTCATTAGTCGTACACTGACAACGTCTACATAAGATCTGAGCGCAAGAGAATAAGATCTTTCAGCTGTTTATGTTTGTCGTTTTTAAGCTGACGGAGACGCAGGTTATCATGTAGCGCTCAGCTTAGCCGTCAGCCAAACCCAGCTCACAAACCTGGTATTTTACCAGCCAGAGAGCTTTTTTAGGCTTGAGAGGAGCAGTTGCAGCCTAATTTCTGGGTGGGAACAGTTTTTTGTAAAGACTTGCTTAATGCCAGCGTTCCTGCACTCCTTTGCCTAGAAAGCTGAACACCACTATGACTGCTTTGCTGATTTTTGTCCTCTTTGTTGATATTCACATGTCAAGCACACCGACCAGCAGCTGCAATTACTTTTTTTTTTTCTCCTGCAGACTAGACTAAGATCATCAGAGCATGCAGCTGGTTTAGTAAATTCCTTCATGTTTTATGTTAACTTCCTTGTTTTCTTTGCATTACTTGTGGAATCCTTTGAATCTCCGTCTTATTTGACTGAGATTCAAAGGATTCCACGACCGGAAAGTACTTTGGCTCAACAGCTGTGGCTTTAAATGAATTAAATAAAGATAGCTGGACCTAACTCGATTGCAGAAATGTTATTTGAATGCGCTGCTTTATGACTTTTTAACGTGGTTTCATTGCTCCTTAAAGGTAAATCAGTGACTGAAGATGATGTCCGATGCCAGCGACATGTTGGCCGCCGCCCTGGAGCAGATGGACGGCATTATAGCAGGTAAAGCTCTCCAGCAGCATTACTCATCAGCATTTTATCTGGACTTTTTAGGAGTTAAAGCAGGTATGTTATGAGTCCTTTTTTATATAGTTGTGCCAATGGATAAAGCAACACAGATACAGCCCTTTCTAGGCTTAGTCAACACTGATAAGACTTTTATCTATTGTCTTGTTATGGCTTGTTGCAGAGCTGACATTGTAGACGGATGTCATGTGATATCTGGCACTCTCATGTCTGTCAGGGAGATTTTATCATTTTTTCTCTACTCCTTAAGGCCATGTGGCTCTAGGCCATGTTTAGCCATGGTTCAGTCACGTTTTAAATTCATACGCATACCGTTTGTGTTTTGTAAAAATGGACTATTTAACATATTCAGTCCAGAGTGTGGTGTCCCAAGAGATTTTAGAAATGCTGGATGTGGCTCCAGAGGATCGAATGGTTGTCTTCAAATAACGTTATTATTTATTACAATCCAGCCTGTGATAGCACACTTTAATTTTACAATAATGTAAGTATATATTAGATGTATTCCTTGTGTGCCACAGTGAATTGTTTCTATGCCTGCTGTAATCACTGAGAGCATGAGCCACAGAATGTTTCATTGTCTTCTCTGTACTATTAAGATCAGCACTGTAACTCAGTTAAACCCGTCAAAAATAATTACAATGGGAATTATGTGATGCTTAAATCTGTGTCTATCTTTAGGCTCTACTTCCTCTTAATATTTTCTTCTCTCCCGTTGTGCTTCTTTGCCACAGGCTCCAAAGCTCTGGACTACTCCAATGGTATATTTGACTGCCAGTCACCTACGTCCCCGTTCATGGGTAGCTTGCGGGCGCTTCACCTTTTGGAAGACCTGAGAAGTGTCCTGGAGTTGATGGACACAGAGGAAAGGGAGAGTCTACGCTGCCAGATACCTGATTCCACAGCTGACAGCCTGGTTGAGTGGCTCCATGGTCACCTGGTGAGAGCCGTATATGTTGAAAGAAAGACACAAACATGCTATATGAGTCTATAAGATCTTTAAAATAACAGTGTTGGTGACACTCGATAGATTTGGGGAGATATGTGGCTCAGGTTGGACAGTTTCCTAACAGAAGATCATGAAAAAAAAAAGTCACTCTGACCTCTTTTCAGTCATCATCAGAATAGTGTAGCCTCAGGGCGGATCACTTTCACTGTCACGCACAACTGGTTTATCTAGACACTTACACAAAAGATATATAATAGCTCTCGTGTTGCTTTTTTACTGCATGAAGGCTTCAGTTCGCTTTGAGATTTACATTGACATCAGTGTAAGCGGCGGTATCACGGAAGACATTTTCTCTGTGATTTGTGAACCGGTTTGATTCTGATAAATCTGGTTCTGTGCGCTACATTAAATTTCTGAATGCAGAACATTGTGAGCAGACAGTCCTGTGTGCAATGATACAACTGACTTGTTAGCTGAGGGAAAACACGACTGTCCTGTTCTGCTGAGTGCTCTGGGAATGCAAGACAAATTGCTGGTGTTGTCATTGTTGCAGCCAGCGTGCAGCGAAGGAACACGCTGACATCTTGGGAATCAGAGTCGTGTTTGGGAGAGTGATGGGCTGCGGGCCAGGCAGAGTTTTGTTTTTGTAATGCTGTAACTCTCTCTCTGTGTACAGCAGTGTGAATGTGAGCTTTCTTTTCATCCATGTAAGGTTTTGTTTGTGCAGCGTGAAGTAGTGTAGCCAGTCACACTCGGATGTGAAGAGCTTAATCTGAGAGTGTTATTTAGAAACTTCACGGTTTAAAGGATCGTCTGAATTAATGAACCTACCTGTACCACTCTGCACTCCAGAGGCTATAAAACAGTACCTGCTATAATTTAGTTTGATCCATATTTTTTCTGTCCTTGCAGTCCAATGGGCACATTTCTTTGAGTGGAGGCGACCACTACCAGGAAAGGCTTTCCCGACTGGAGAGCGATAAGGAGTCTCTGGTGCTTCAGGTACCCACTGAGCAATTCATATAATTTTACCAGTGCCTGCCACAAAGGTTTAAACCATATAGATATGAAATGTCTTTTTGAAACTGTCGCCTTGGTTCCTTGCAGGTGAGTGTGCTGACAGACCAGGTGGAGGCTCAGGGAGAGAAGATTCGGGATCTGGACGTATGTTTGGATGAGCACAGGGAGAAACTCAACGCCACTGAGGAGATGCTGCAACAGGTGTGTGTGGGTGCTTTCATGTGTAATAAGGGCCACATTGTTTGCTCATAAGGGCCTCATCATAATGAAACCTAAACAGGGTGCACATGTGTGGGGGTGGCGCTGGAACATCTGAGTTCATGTCCTGTTGTTAGTAAGCTTCTACTGTTGTTGGATAAATGCAACCTCAGCAGTGTGCTTCTATGTCTAGTCTACAGATATTAGGTGTAGAAGAGGTTTCTCCTCATACTGCTCACCGCTTTCTGAGTCCGTGTATTAACAGCAACAATGCCAATACTACTAGTGTTGTTTTGTCTGCCAATAACGAGTCCTTTGCAGCCAAAAGGTTTTGTGTTTTTGTTTTAGACCATCTTCGTTTGTCATTGTAGGAGCTTTTGTGTAGAAGTGCACTGGAGACCCAGAAGATCGAGCTGATGTCTGAAGTGTCCAACCTCAAGCTGAAGCTGAACGGCATGGAGAAGGACAGGCTGGACTTTGATGATAGATTCAGGGACAGCGAGGTACATGAACTAATGCCTTGAACGGGAATCCCTGCTGCTTCATTTCTGTCTCTCTGAGCAAACACACACACACACACACACACACACACACACACACACACACACTCTGCCTCACACTTGCTAAACAAACATTCATCCGTGTTGTCTAACATCTGTGTGCGAGAGAGTCTTATTTTATCGTCAGTCTCAATTTCTAGCTTGTGTGTTAAGCTGGAAAAAAAAGTCTGAAAATTTACTACACCTCATGGAAGTGTCAACATTCACTGAACTAGTGATAGAGCTGCAGTGCTTGTTGTGATTATAAATGAAAGACTCACAAAGTAGTTTACTGTCAATGTATTTTTTTCCTTTTTACTGTATTTGGATTTACTGCCCTCCAGTCAAAAGCTTTTTACAGATTAAACTGTCAACCATTTGTTTACTGGAGACGGGGAGATATCTGCTCCCAGATGAACCATGCAGAATGCTTGGAAAGCTTTCAAACACGTCATGTTATTGTTGCAGCAGTGCGGTCGTCTCTTCCACCCCACTGGAACAAAAAGCTGCTGTCCATGTTCCGCCTCACAGCACATAAATCAGTTCTTTTCTACCAGCAGCTTCCTCTCATTTTATCACTGCTGCTTTGAAGCACTTGCTCTCGAAAAGAATTCCCCCCAAACGTATCTGGAGATGCTTAATAGAGCTTATCTTCACCGTACCAGTTTGCTGATTTAAATCAAATTTATAAGATGTAAAAGGTGAATGCCATATAAGAAGACTTTAACTTTTCACCTGCCATCATGAACTTTGTTGTTACACCATCACTCTGTGACGTGTACTTTATGTTTGTTTCAGGATCTGATCCTTGAAATTAATGAACTGCGGTACAGATTGACAGACCTGGAGAGCGAGAAACTACAGTACGAAAAGAAACTTAAATCTACAAAGGTGAGTTGTCACGGGGCTCTTCTCTGGCTGTTGGTTTCCAGGAGTTGTCTTCTGCAGCTAAACAAACTGGTTTTCGTACTGAACCCCTCTTGCTGTTGAACAATTTGGGTAACTTCTGGAGAAAGTCATTCAGCCACTGTTTTGTCTCTAGATTACTGTAGCTCATGTTCACCTGTTGTTCTTTAGCATAAGTCAAATCAAAACTGCCATCGACTCTTTATTTGCTTCTGATAATACCTTCGATTGGGATTTATTCGTTTAATTAAGGATTTAGTCAGATTTAGAGATTCTGGTGGCTGTGTTAAGGTTTGGAATTGAGTTACCTATAAATGTTATAACCCCATTTAGTCTCTAGGATGCCTTATTCATCTGTCGTAAGTGTTGAAAAGTCTTTGTCTCATCTTGGCTAAACTTAAAGACAAATTGCATCTTTACAGTTTTTATCCACAGAGTTTAAAACTGCACATTAATTGTAACGAGTTTCCTACTTTTAATGTGCTTTACAGTCTAAATATCTTTGGTTGAACTGTGGATATTCCACCTTCTTTACCTCTTTTATCTTCACACCTTCTCGCATCTCTATTTTCTTTTCTTCCTCGGTTTGCCTCTCTACTGCTAGTCACTAATGGCCAAGCTTTCTAGCCTGAAAATCAAAATGGGCCAGATGCAGTATGAGAAACAGAGGAGAGAGCACAAACTCCAGGCTATGAAGGTTGGCTTCTCTCAGGATGATTGTTGTGCTTGCTGTATGATTATGGTTTTTGACCTCTCCCTTTGGCTCCTCTTCTGTTTTTCTTTATTTATTTTTGAGGCCAAAACTGGCTTGCTGCACTTTTCTTTTTTTAATCTTTTTTTTTGGTAAAATGATGTCACTTTTTTTTTTTTTTGCAAACAATGAACTCACTTAATTTACTTAACCATGCAATACAGTCAAATGTAAAAAAGTCAAATGCAGTCAGAAATACCACTTCCTCAAGTCTGCATCTACAAAGCACTAGTTTCAGCAAACACTCACATTTTTGAAACCACAGGTATGCTTTAATTTGGGGTTATTTTTTTCTAGAGTTGGCAGAGTTCTGGCTTTCTGTGCTTTTCTTTATCCCTCTTTACACTTGTCCCACTGATTTCCTTTTTTTTCTGACCCTCTCTATTAAAACCTCCAGTTTAATGTGTCCGTCTCTGTGCCTGATACCTGTTCTGATCACTTAAACATGTCTTCTCTATAATGGCTTGTATATTTGTTATTACCTGAGCCCTCCCAGACGTCTTACCACCCACCTCACATACCCTTCGAGCAGGTGTGGCTTGCGTCCCCGTACGCCACGTCAGCGTCTGTGAACCTTTGTGTTGTGGTTTGTTTGTGGTGTTGAGTTGGGGTGGGGGGAGGTGATGTCAGCGCGGAGGAAACATTCTCACCGTCGTCCCCTGTTTAACAGGAGGAGCTCGCCATTCTGAGGAGGCAGCTGGAGGGCAAAGACGGAGAGATGAGGAGGCTACAGGATGAGACGGGCTTCAAAGCCTTCTCCCCAAGCGGTGCAGATCCTGCAGAGAGAGGTGGGAAAAAGGCAGTCAAATCAAAAGCCTCACTGAAGACCAGCATGCCTGATGTTTAATGTCTCTAAAGCCCTTTTCAGACATGGGATCCTTAACATTAGTGGTTTCACCTGATAAACTGACGGCATTAGTCTTTTAGACGCTGGTCGCTTTAATGTTCCTCACTGCTTCATTCAGATGTTCTCAGGACCACAGTACATGTGCAATATTTGTCATAAATGTGAGATTGGATTGGACGTCAAGGGATATAGAATACATAATAATACACTTATCGTAAAAGACTGAATCTAAACTACTAGCAGGCTGGTCAAACTGTCCAAATAAGTAGTTTAGTTTATTCATGATTTCCTAAACACTGAAAATTCTGTTTGAGGATAATTTAACTACTTTACTAGCTGTAGAATCATAATGTTGTGATGGAGCTTTGGACTCAAGGATGGCCGCTATATAACAGGTGATTTAACCGTAGCCTCTAAACTGTGACTCACTGTGACAGCTCATACTGTCTCATACAAAGAAAAGTACACGGTTACTTGCTCCTGATCCATCCCGTCTCCATGTTGGAGATAATTCATAATTAGATATAAAAATGAAACAACTGCTGTTGTTCCACATATGTAAATGCGTGTAGCTGTCTGTCTTTGGAGACACTCAAACTGATCCTGCGCTGCTCTTTGATGCTGCAGGTATTTAATATGCAAACAGCTGGAAGAAACAAACTAAACTTCAGCCGTGAATGTTTTGTCAGAACCTGGATTGCATTAATTATTGCTCTGTGATGTTTTTGACCTACATTCAAGCTAAATTGTCCAAAAGCCCCTAAAATAAGTCACACAGCTAGAAGTACAGTGTATGTGCCAATCTGTTAATCTGACTGCTTGCAGTTCAGACTTGTGCCGTCTTGACAGCGATACGAAGTGTTATGAGGTTCAACCTATTGAGATTGCTTTCACAGCTTGTATGAAAAAGTGAGCAGGGTGTTTGTTCGCACATGAAGCCGACATGTTCAGTTGCCATCAAATTAATGGGGTGCATGTCTGAAAGGGGCTTAATTTCTGTAATATGACTGATGGTATTATCTGTTCATAATTAGAAAAAGCATTAGGCTAAAGTTTCAATATGTTTTGTCCTGTTTAGCCTCTCATCCAGATGAAACTCTTAGAAAGAGGCTGAAAGAAAAACGTAAGGGGGGTTTTTATACTTGTGTTTATTTACTGCACTTAATGATTGCACCCACCCCAAACCCTGTTTGCATGAACGAGCATGAGCCACCTGAACTCTGCTTGTCCATTATAACCCATCAGAGTGCCAGAACCTGACCACAGAGCACCACGTCTCAGTTCAACTGTTCAACTTTTATTTGTCTGATTTTTGAATGGAACCAGTCCAAGGTCTTCCGTCCCCCTCATCCCTGTGTTTCCAATGTCCATCTAAAACAGCAGCAAGAACTGTTTGCTTTGTGTACTCAGCAGGAATGAGGAATGAACTCTGTTGTTTGTCATAACCATTCAGGCTGCTCACTCATCCTTCTGACTGATGCCCTCCAACAATACTCACCTCCTGTACCCCTCGATACCTCTCCTCAAAGTCCTCTAAGCCTTCCCCTGCTCACACCAACAGCCAGTGTGCGCCCTGCTAACCTGTTCTGTCGTCGTCCTGTTCAGTGTTGTCTGACAGTGTTTTATCTTCATGTCTTTGCCTCCATCAGTTATATATTCACTTACATAGAACACTTTCATTTTTCACTCGCAGCACACACTCCCTCACATAAAGCTGTCCAGATGAGCAGAATTAGTTAATTATAACAAGCTTTCAAAACTTTCCTGCCTCCATTGAGCACACCCATTAAACATTCACAGTGCAGTTGGAAAAAGTAAGTGAACCCTTGGATTTAATAACCTGTCAAACTTTCTTTGGCAGCAGTAACCTCAAGCAAACATTTGTGCTCGCTGTAGATCAGATTTGGGTATGTTTAGGAGCTTCAGCTTAGTGTCTGATGTGAATGGCTCTCTTGAGGTCACTCCATAGCGTCTCTACTGGGTTAGTGTCTGCACTCTGACTGGGCTACTACAAAAGGAGGATTTTCTTTGTTTGAAGCCATTCTGTAGTAGACTTACTTTGATGTTTAGGGTCATGACTGTCCTGCTGCATCACTCCACTACTGCTGAGCTGCAGCTGGCAGGCAGGCAGCCACCCTGACATGATCGTGTAAGGTACCTTACTTGGGATAAACTTGGGAATTCCCCTGAATATTGGTGAGCTGACAGCAGAGCGGAAAAACTTGATTGTTCCTCCTCTTCACCTTTACCAAGATGTTTCCATGCTATTTAGTTTAATCAAACATCAGGCAGCAGCACTGTGGAGTGTAAATATGTAGTGTCCTGCTATGAACACCAAGCTTTTCTAGTGATTTAAAAGATAATAGAGATGTTAGCCTGCTCCACTTATTCATTTCAGCCGTTAGCTGTTCCTCTGGGGTTCATTGAGCATTCTCTGTTGTGCAGTTGGAGTCATCCTTTCATCTCGACTGTTTGTCTGCATCTTTGTCAACGTCTAAAATTTGATCCAGCTTCATGCAAAAGAACATTTGTATTGTTACAGTTCACATTAGCAGGTGTTTCTAGTTAAACCTCAAAGTGTTGCTGAAGATATTTATGAGTGACAGTAGCCTGAGGGTTCACATACTTTTTCCAGGCAGTGAGTGAATAAACAGTGTTTTCAATGTAGACTTGATGATTGATGTGTTAATTGTTAAGCTGACATGTGATGCTTGTAAATTCAATGAAGATCTAGACAAATTTACGACAACTTTATACATAAATGCAGATCATTTAATTGCAGTTTCCTACCAGAGAACACATTCAGATGCCTTCGTTTTGGTTTACTTATAGATGATAAAACTGAGGGGAAAGCATGAATAGAAAAAGAGGATTACTAATGTTGAGGGTCAGTGCTCACAGGGCCTTGTCAGTGCTCTGAAAAGCGAAGATGTTCTAGTGAAGTTAAACATGTGAAGCAGTCACTCAGAAAAGGAAATTGTGCGTCAGTTCAAAGCATTCCTAAAAACAGACCACGTGGCTCGATGACAGTCAGTAATGTTGCGGCCTTTACATCGTAAACACTACACTTCTTTGTCTGAATCTTTATTTTTCATCACTAGATGTGGAAGTGCAGAGAATGAAAAAGGCAGTCGAGTCGTTGATGGCGGCAAATGAAGAAAAGGTACGTTTTTAAAGCTGTGATTCGCTTCATATTGCACCAAAAGATTCAGCTGTCTGGAAAAATTTACCTCGTTTTGCAATGAAATTGTCTTTTTATTTGCAGGATCGTAAGATTGAGGAACTGAAGCAGTCGCTTTTGCGGTACAAGAAAGTTCAAGACATGGTGATGTCGGTGCAAGGAAAGAAAGGTCGGTAAACAAACAGCATGATGTTATGTGAGTGAACATTTTTAAAACATGTAGTGGATTTTATAGGGATTTCCAGTTTTCCATAAACCCACTGATGAGATTTCTATTTATTCTAATGTCATTTATGTGTAAATGATCTTGCATCTTTATTTGGGACAAAAAGTTTGAGTTTCTTGCCAAACAGCAACTTTTCAGTTTGCCAGCTTGTTTTTGGGGGATTGTATTTGTATAGTTTTCTATATTTTAATGCATATTAAACTCTTTCTATAACAAATTTCAATTAATTTTATTTTTAGGCTTATTTTAGGCTTGTAAAATCTGTTGAGAGAGTTTACTAGAGTAGCTTTGCGTGGGTCACAGTTCAAGAAAAGTTTTGTTTTTTTTAACTTGTACTGGCCCATAATGCAGCCCCTCAGTTCATCCTCTGTTCAGAACAAGCTGTTGTAGATTCTTCTTTTATATACATTTCCATCTTTATTTGAAACGTTGACCACGTCTAATATGAACTTCCAGCATTGCAGCATATAAAGAAAGAGTATATTCGGTAAACTTAAAATTTTACAAGCCGAATTATATGGTCTCATCTAATTCATTGTGCACCTCAGAGAAATCCAAGGATAACGAGCATGTTGAGAGCCCTGGAGACGGATCCATTGCGTTCTTCTGTGCCAACTCTGTGTCTGTGGAGCCAGAAGTTATGGATGTTGAACAACTGAAACGGAAAAGCCCAGATGAGGTTTGTACAGCATAACATTACCTGAAGTGTCATCAGAGTGAAGACGGGTGTATCATATATTTAAACAACAAAGCAAATGTGATGTACATAATATCGCAAACGGTGTTTTAAAGGTGAAAAGTTGAGCGAAGATGGTTGAGAAAGTGGTTATTGGACACAAAGCTGACTGTATGTTTGTGGCGTCTTTCAGATTTCTTGGTAATGAGCAGCTGAAAAAAGTAAATTCACTTCAGTTGTATGTTTTTACCTTCTCCGCCTTCAAGCAACTTCACATCTTATTAAATTCTAAAAGCCTCAGTAAAGCACGCACACTCACAAATACCTCACATTAATTTCACACTTTGGAAATGAGTGTTGAAGGGCTTGACAGCCAATTAATTGAATAACATCGTCTGTCAGTTCTCGAAGCTCGTGTGCAGATTTCGGCCGTTCTCAAGGTAGAAAATAGAAGTAGATGTTTTAAGGCGAAATACACTTCGCATTTTTAAAACTCTTTATTTTTATCTGTCTTCTTTTCTTATTCTAATTCAAGCTGGAGAGTCTCAACGGACTGAGTGAAGAGTCTTCGCTCACACCCAGCCCGTCTGATCCAGAGCGAGTGTCGGAGTCTTCGCCAACAGATGTAGAAAGGTGAAATATGTTGGAAGGTTTTCTCTCATTTATTCCAAGTCAGTTCCAAGAGTGTAATGTAGAGAGGGGCTAATGCATTTTGTATATTAAAGATGCTGACAATTTGTACATTTTTTAATGGCACTTCTTATTCACATGATTGGGCATTTTACTTGCTCATATTCAATGTATAACTGATGTGTCTGATTTAAAGGACTTTCACTGCAGCTGATGACACCAGCTGGCACACATTTGTCTGGACCAGATCATCGGTGCATGTGGTCTGCCACATGTTTGACTTTAACACGCCATTGTCCTCTGTCTGCTAAATAGTTTCCTGTCACACCCCAGTGCAAAGTGAACACAATGGTATCTTTTCATCCGTATTAGATGTGGTGTTGCACACTCAAGTATTAAGAAATCCGACCACTTGTGGCAGAGAGTTGCTCTTCACTTACGCATAAAATCATTGTAATAGTTGTAGTTTCTAAATCATTTATACAGTCAGATTTTGCTAAAATCAAACTTTAGATGAGATCTTTAACACAAAAAAATGTAGGTTTTGTAATTACAGGATTTCTCTGGTGAAGGAAAGAACACATTTTAATTTAATAGACTAAACAAGAATCTCAAATGTTGCTGATTTATTGGGTGCTTTCATACCTGCTAGTAAATATTGCACCTATTAAGATGTAACTACATTAGGATATTGCTCTGATTGCAGTATTTTGTCTTTAGCGTTCACATTTACTTGTACATTACACCCAGTGCTCTGCTAACAGGCTGACACATGTTTTGTTCATTTGCTCCGTTCATTAATCAGAGTGTGAGGAAGTGTGTCAGGTTTACCTCTCAGTCGACGAAGTCACACGTCAGAAGAATGTGTGTAACAATGGTTTCTTGTATCCTGTAGCCTCACGCTGCCGTTTCTCAGAACCATGTGAGACAAACGTACAGATCTCAACTGAACCGATGTAAGTTTGAACTGCTGTGGTTTTGTCATTTCAGCAGCCAAGATGCCACCAAGACCGTGAGCCAGGACCACCTGGACAAGAGCAGTAATGACAAAGTAAGGACAAGTGTTATACGCTGGAAAAACTTTTTTAAATTAGACACTTCCACTTTGCTCCACAGCTTCCAGTATATTATGTGTAAATGTAGATTTTGGGGGCTGCAATGTGGATCAGTGGTTAGCACTGTTGCCTCACATCTAGAAGGTCGTCAGTTCGCGTCCTGGTGAGGACACCTGGGATCTTTCTGCGTGGAGTTTGCATGTTCTCCCCATGCAGCGTGGGTTCTCTCCAGGTTCTTCAGCTTCCTCCCACAGTCCAAAAACATGCTGAGGTTAATTGGTGATTCTAAATTGTCGGTAGGTGTGAATGTGAGTGTGCTTGGTTGTCTGTCTCCAGCCCCCCATAGTCAGGATTAAGCTGTGTATAGATGATAGATGGATGGATATAGATTTTGATAAGAGAACTGTTTCTGGTTTCTCAGAGTACAAGTGAAGAGATCCCTAAGATGAGCGATAAGCCACCGATGAGCCCCTCTGCCACATTGCCCGCCAGTACAGATGACGACAGCTTTGGCTCAAGAAAAGCTCGTTCATCTTTTGGAAAGGGCTTCTTCAAGATCCGCGGGGGAAAGAAGACCAACAGTACCCCTAACCTCGGTGAGAGCAAACCGCATGTTTTCACATCATGGTTTCCATGTTATTGTGTTTGACATTAACCTCGCTGTGGAACTGATTGGTTGTTTACTAGAGGGTGCCGATTTCTTGGAGGTTTTTCCTTCCACCGTGCATGAGTTTTTATTTTCTCAAGCCACACCCAAGGGAAACGCTATATGGACCAAGACCGTAATTTGCAGCCCACACAAACTGTGGTCCCCATTTAATTATGGAAGTATGTTTCTGTGTTGCCCTTCGTCCCGTGTTTGTGCTTTTTTGTATGTACATGTACATGTCTGTGTTCCACCTCTCCAATCCCACGATTATTTCAATCATAATGTCTGCCCTCTTGTTTTGTTTTTTTTTCTGTTGGACCCTGTCGTGTGTTGTGTACACTTTGTAACACATGAAGACCGCAGCAGGAGTGCGAGTGCGCCTATGCTAGGTACAGTATAGACTGCAAGTCCTGGTAGGGTTGCAGTAGTTCTCCGAAGAAAGCAAAGGAAACTACCGCACATATCCTATGTCCTCGTGCATCTACGCCTTGTCCAAGCTGTTTAACTGACACGTCTTTTTTTAGTACATTTCAGTAGCTGCAGTGCTTTAACATCCGCAACCTCATCACTCCCCTTTTTTGCACAAATGCTGTCTGTCCAGCATACAGTATGTTTTGTTTGCTGAGTTGCCTGCGAGCCTGCATGTGTTTGCTTTCACTTTTTTCCTTCCAGCAAAACCTTCCACAGACACAGATTTGTGTTGAGATCCAGATTAACAGAATAAAGGATTTATTTGGATCCTGAAACAAAACAACTAATGTATTCCAATCTTAGTCGGATATCAACGTGTCTGCTGCATGCGTACTAGAGAGCATACTGCTTTGTAATGCCCACTGCCATGACCTCTCAGTCTGTCTAGGTCTAGGAGTTGTCATGTGTCTGTCTGTGTTTTCTGGGTCCCTGCATTGGCCCCCGTGCAGCAGCTCTGTCTCCACCGATCAGTGCATGTCCCCCCACACCGATGCTCATGACGCTGATGATGTTCTGTGGGTATTGTTTGTACAGCTGAAACAGAGCGACAGGGCACCGACCATCTGGATTTGGCCGGGATGCCACAGAGGTCAGCTAACAGCGACAGCACGCACACACTCCCCACGACCCCAGAAAGCAGGAAAAAATCCAAAGGAATAAAGAAACTCTTTGGAAAGTGAGTAAAAAATGACGCAAGAATCTTTGACTTGATTTTAAGACGAGTAAAATAGACAACACATCAGTCGAGTGATACAAGGAGCTTTTTCACAGTTTATTGAGAGGATATTTTTAATATTTACTCTTGAATGTTTCACATTTTTAGGCTAAAAAGGAGTCAGTCTACCACATTTAACCTGGATGACAACCTACCAGAGGGGGAATTCAAGCGGGGAGGAGTGCGCGCCACAGCAGGACCCAGACTGGGCTGGTCTCGTGACCTCCAACGAGTTAACAAGTGAGTCTGTGAGCATGACTAATAAAAATCAGGAAGTGTTTTCCTCATTTTGAATCTCTGTTGGACGATGAAGCTTAGAGACAATGAGGAGATTTTGACAAAGCAGTCTGTTAGAATCACAAAGACATAAAAATGCATTATCACAGTTATTCTCCTGTCTTATACTGCCGTCATAACTCTGAACATTTTTGCTTTTCTAATTTCTTTTATTGTCTCAGTGACGTGGATGCTCCCTTTGCTCGTTGGTCAAAGGATCAGGTTTGCGACTGGCTGCAGGAGCAGGGTCTTGGTCTTTATGTGAACATGGCTCGTGTGTGGATCTCCTCTGGACAGACGCTGCTACAGGCCTCACAACAGGACCTGGAGAGGGTGAGATGAACCAGAAGAATTTAATAAGTTTACTGACGCTGGCAGACAGGCCGAGTATTCTTGTGCTGAACTTGTTGTTTAGGGCCTGGGGGGTGCTGTGCGTAATTCTCACTCGTCTCCTTGTGGATGTTTCAGGAGCTGGGCATCAAACACCCGCTGCACAGAAAGAAGCTGCAGCTGGCTCTGCAGGCCCTCGGCTCAGAGGAGGAGGATAATAAGGGAAAGCTGGACTACAACTGGGTGACAAGTGAGTACTCGCTGCCAGTTCTAGACATAAGTGGAAGGGCCTGTTTTTGTTGGTTTTGTTAGTGTCTGTTTATTTATATCCACTTTTAATCATTTGTCAGTGTTAATTTTATTTTCTTCTGGCTAAACTTGGCTTTGCACTTCCTCTCAGGGTGGCTGGATGACATCGGCCTGCCTCAGTATAAGACCCAGTTTGACGAAGGGAGGGTTGATGGTCGCATGCTGCACTACATGACAGTGGTGAGTGCTGACAGGAGACATGTCCTCCCTTCACACAGCCTGTGGATAACGAGGCCTGATGAGTCCACTGCCATCTCATGTTAGGATTATTGCTCAAGAGAGTCGGAGTCTCCAGTGGAGGCGGCCTGCTCTCACTCCTGTGATATTTGTGATAATGCTAAAGCCTCTTGTGCTCTTCAAACTTGGATTCTTTACATCAGTTTTTTGCTGCAACAGTCACTGGCTATTATATTTTTGTATGTAGTTTCTGCATCTGCACACTGTGGTCCACTAGGATCAGCATTTCATACATTTCATCATCACCCAAGTCCATTAGAGGCTTCTACTCTACAGGGGCAGTGGTGTTTATGCACAGAATTTGTAGATGGCAACTTACTGCCTGTGTGTGGAACAAAATCCTCTGAGTGACCAGAAAGTAGAATAATAACAAAAACTATGCATCAATGTTTTCCACATCTGTCCATGTGTGTGTCTGCAGTCGAGAACAATCAAGGCTTATGGCTAAATTCTGCTTCTCCTAAATTTTGTTGTTTGAAATTTGCAACAAGTCTCTGATTGATGCTTCTCCCCCCAGGATGACCTCCTTTCCCTGAAGGTGGGAAGCGTCCTTCATCATCTCAGTATCAAGAGAGCTATTCAGGTTCTCCGACTCAACAGCTACGAGCCCAACTGTTTGCGTCGTCGGCCGTCAGACGAGGTGAGTTCAGTTTGACGTACTAATTTTACAATAGACGGCTGTAAGTAAACCTACTCTGCATCTAATTATGATTTTTTCTTGTCTTCTGTCTGTACTTTGTGTCCACAGAACAACATTTCACCTGCAGAGATTTCACAGTGGACCAACCACAGGGTGATGGAGTGGCTGCGCTCTGTGGACCTGGCTGAATATGCTCCCAACCTGAGAGGCAGCGGCGTGCACGGAGGCCTAATGGTGAGAGAACGAGGTGGTCGGTTTACCTACAAAGCAGATCTTCTCCCCAAATGCTCCTAACGCTTCAGCTTCCTGCTCAGGTTCTGGAGCCGCGGTTCAACGTGGAGACCATGGCTCTGCTGCTCAACATCCCCCCCAACAAGACTCTGCTGCGTCGCCACCTCGCCACACATTTCAACCTGCTCATTGGCTCAGAGGCCCAACAGCTCAAACAGGAGTGTCTCGAGAACCCAGACTACACTTTGCTTACTGCCACCACCAAGGTCAAGGTAACGCAGGATCAACTCTCAATAAATATTCTTGATGTGGAGCCAAAAAAAGCTTGTTTCTGTCTTTTCTTTTAAATGTTTTGGAAACGTGTAACATATTTAATCTTCAGTTTTTCTGGAGAAACACCAACATTTTTTAGATGGCAAAGACATATACAGGAAGAGTGAATTGTAGTATATGTGTTTATTTAAATGACTCTGCAGTTGTGTAGTCACTGAAAATGGTCTAAAGTGATTGAAAAGTTTAGAGAGGACCCTGTTTGGTTATATTTAAAATGTGTTTGTGTCCTCTCCAGCCAAAGAAACTATCATTCGGTAACTTTGGCAGTTTGAGGAAGAAAAAGCAGGAAGAGAACGAGGAGTACGTGTGTCCGATGGACGTGGAGATGCCAAAAGGTCGAAGCTTCCAGAAAGGCTACGAGCTCCAAATCTACGAGGATGATCTTGACAGGCTAGAACAGGTGAGCTAGTGTTTAGAATTCTAGTTTTCTATCTAACTGCAGACTCACCAGCTGAAATCTTCTTTGTGTTGAGGGTCTGAGTTCGTTGAGTTTCTTTTCACAGATGGAGGACTCTGAGGGAACTGTGAGACAGATTGGAGCTTTCTCTGAGGGGATTCAAAATCTGACGGTAAGAATCTGAAGCTCGCCGCAAAGCACGGACTCTTGCTTCATGAGTTTTGTGAAATTAAATATTTTCCTCTCATACCAGAGCATGCTGAAAGACGACGAATTCTTCAAAGAGATTTCAAATTCACCGAACCCCAGCGTAACAGACGACGAGTCCAACGCATGAGACCGTCGGCATCAGACCTGGTCCTGCTGTGAATGAAACTCTGTGCCAACCCCTCTCCACTTGCACACTTGTCTCAACAAATCCCAAGAATGCTCCCGCAGTTCTTTTTTTTTTTTAGTGTTACATTCGAGGAAGAGCCAAAAGTATTACAGCGTCTGTCTTTTTGTGGGTTTTGAACGACGGTGTTGTGAACGCCTGCAGCCCAGTGGCCACTATTACTCCTGAACTTTGTCTCCGTTCCCGTCGTCTGATGTCAGAGGCAACACTTAAGGACAACACCACTGCTCGCCTGCCAGCTGGTTTCTGGAGATGTTTTGTTATATACAGGCACCGTTGTGTTTATGACAGAACTGAAGTGTCAACCAGCAGAAAATGACATCTAGAGAATATAGATTTAATATATGTCTTTGAAATCGCCTTCCGACTGTAGCGGGATTGGAGAGAAGAGATGAACTTTGTAGAGGTAGAAGACTCCATAGAGGTAAAATGCTGAGAATATGTTCCTGTTGTTTGAAGTTAGTGTAAAAAATAATAACTCCGAAACAGCTGCTATGTTTTCTACACAACTGATAATGAAATGATAATGGTCTTATATTTTCTCTTTTTCTAAAGATTTTCAGTAGTACTCCTGCATTTGCACATATACAGTACAAAGCCTGATGGATATCATTGCATGGAATTGAAAACCGACACATTCTTTTAAGAGCTTGTAAACGATTTTAAATGGAAACCTGCTGGCTGACACGCGGGAAGATGTTGCGGCATATTAAGATTAATGAAATGAGATATCGACTGGTTGTTATTCTCTAAGTAATAATATTGTAATGCAACTCGACCACACCTGAAAAGATAGATTGTATTGTTGTTGTTGTTTTTTTTACACTTATCCAATTATTAAGATCAATAAAGTGGTTTAAATACGTTTGTGTTTTCCTGAAGTGGGCAAATTAAATCGTGCTGGGAAGAGGGCGAGCCATTTGGAAGTTGCTCATTTTACTGATGTAAATGTGGTCACTGGGAGTTGAGCAACATGTGTTGCTGCATTGATGTTGTAGCTCAACTTTGGTTTTGTTGCCCGTTAGGAGAAAGCTGGACAAGTTCAAGATGTTAAGGGACAGAATAATGAGGCACTACATGACAACCAATCCAAAGGTAGCCACTGTAGTTAGGATTTTAGACGAGCTAAGTTTAGTTTTACCATAGACTCATTATGATCCAGCCTCTAGGGTCAGCTGGATGTAACAAAACAAAACAAAAAACAGAGGGAAATGGTTCAGGTAAAGCAATTTATTGCTCAGTAGCGTAAATGAACAGAACAGTGAAGAAGATGGAGGATGTTGCTAAAAATCAAAGAACCACACAAAGGTTAACGGAGTAACGAAGCCAGCAAACAAAACCAAACTCACCTCTTTAGTCAAACTTAAATCTAATAGCAACATCCACACATGATAAAAAAAAAAAATAGTGCCTCAAAACACACAATACGAGAACACAGGACACGAGTAACTTGTTCATGAAGTTGCTCAGCTGCTATCAGGAGTCATCGTCTCCACTGAGACTCACATGAAAACTCCCACACCGAGTTAGCAGCAGACACAAACCGAGAGGCACCAGGACTGACTGTTCACACTAAATCCCAGCCAGCCCCGACTGAAAGGTTGCATTTATAGCCAGGTGTGGTGATTGCTGGGGTGGAGGAGGAGAGGTGGTGGTCCAATCCGATGTGACTGGAGGCGGGGAAACAAGGACTGATTAGCTGAGATGACTGGCAGCTGGTGTCCTGGAGCAGCTCTTAGACACAGCTGGACCTACACAGGTCATCTCCACACGTAGTGGTCTACGGAGCATGTCTGGTGACATCGATAAGAAATAAAAATAACTCCTTCCCACGCATTAGTAAATCGTGGCCACGAGTTATTAATGAGTGGGAACGATATAATTATCACACGGTGTTTCATCACAAGAGATCGCAGGACATCGGTGTAGTTCATTCCAAAGTTCAAATCAAATCAAATCAAATCAAAATGCTCCATGTTTCATACAAGAACGCCCGTTATCCTTAATCGACAGCTGGTATGACTGCACTGTGAAATTTGCTCCACAACTTCTCTTGTTTCTTCAAAATTAGTAATGCGAGGTCACAATTTAACTATGTCGTTCCCACGCATTAATAACTCGTGGCCACAATTTACTAATGCGTGGGAATGAGTTATTTTTTTTTCTGATCAATGTCACCAGACGGGCTCTGTAGTGGTCACAAGTCCACGTAACAAAAATGGCACAAACACCGTGGGTCGTAACAGATACTTAAACTGTGTTGCCAGTGACTGGATTATAGAACACAACTGTCCCCAAAAAACATTTTGTGAACTGTGAGAAGACATTTCAAACTGTGCAGCAGGTTTAGTTCTGAATAAGGAGGCTGAGGTAGAACTGGTTTGACTGTTGCACATCTTTTTATTTGAACCCCAATGTCTCAGAAAGGTGTTTCAGTTTTTCTCTGCTTTATGCAGTCGTTTATATTTAAAGTAACATAAGAATAAAAAACTGAAAATACAGTCCAACATCAACTTCAAGTAAGACAATGAACCTGAATCACAGAAGCTGAGACATTTCCTCGTCTGAAGGTTTTGAATCAAAAGTGAACGTATCATGAGTTGCTTGTAGTATCTGAAGTGGCACTTCCGGCTTTTCTCTCCTAATTGTTTCCTCTCTCATTTCTCTCTCTTTCAAAAAAAAAAGCAAGAAAAAAAAAGTGCAGACCAGTAGAAATAACAGTCATCATCCTGCTTGTGAAGTTAAATCTTTTCCTCTCATTTACCAGAGTTCGCTGAAAGATGACACATTCTTTGAAGAGACTTTAAATTCAAGAATTATATTTAATTTCACTGACAGAGCTCAGATCTGGCTTCTGTTTATTTGTGCCTCCTTCTGCTCGTCTATAATTTTCTTTTGCCTCACTGGAAAAGTTTCATCACATCTTTTCACTTCTCTTTGTTTCTTCACTCTTCTTCTTTATCTCTGATCCTTCCCTTCTCTTATCTTTTTCTTTCTTCTTGTCAGATCTCTTCGTCTCTCTTCCACCTCCGAAAGCACATCACTGATGATTCATTATGAGTTTAATGACACATGAAGCCTTTCTGAGAGTTTCCTTCCTGCACTAACACTCCTGATGGTTGGTGTGGAAATATAAACCTATTTGGGGTCAGTACTCACACCAGAGCAACCAGCCCTCCCAAGCTGGAATAAAGAAAT